GCGAAGGAAGATGAGGGAGAGATCCAAATAGACGGTCACCTCAGGCATCGGCGTTTGGACACTAGTGACCACCGCTGATGGACAACATTAGGGCGTTTCGCAAGACTTTGTTTTAATGACAACACTCTTGACGAGTGATTCGATGCATTGCCTTCAATGCCACTAAACTAATGTTGTATTGAATGCTAAACACATAATACTTTGTAATGATTTAATAAAAAATACATTAAAAGTGTTGATTAAACCCTAATTTGTTTCATTGATTTGCACGACGAGTGCAACTCATTGGGCGATGCGTTGTCGCCTCACATGTGCTCTCACTGTATGTTTCACTCAACCAAATCATGCTTTCATTTGAATCAAACGTTTATTTTAATTGATTTATAAATTGTTATAATAAAGAGTAAAATATTTTACTAAAATATAAATAGACTTTAAAAACACCAAAATTAAAACACAATCAAATACTGATTTGCAATTGAGATATAAATTATAGGAATTGATTAGAAGTTTATGACTAGAATTGAGACTTAGATAAGACTTTAAATTAAATAATTAAATGCAAATTATAAATATAAATAATACGGTAATAATCATTGGAATATAGATAATAGTTATAGAGTTTGAATGAATTGATTAACAATTCCTGTCCTCTATTTGGTCGGCCTTTTTGCCGATGGCGTCTGGATTTGCGAGTGGATCGAGATCTGCAAACAGGTTGAACCACGAAGACAGCTCTTCCGTCTTCTTTGCCTATTATACCAAACAATTAATACATAATCACTAGAAGTCATCTTAAGTGACACTTACTTTGTCTTTATTAGCATTCAAATTGACTTTTTTGTTCATTTCCTCCAATTTCTCTTTACGAGTAGTCATTGGATTCATGGATGCCTTCATTGGATTCGACGAGTAATTGAATGAATTCAAGTCAATCAGTTGACTCGGCATAAACAGGTCTACTCCACCGGCATTGGAAGCGCCCCCACCTGTCGCACCCACACCACCACCACTAGCGGCGATGACTGGAGCGGTCGGTGCGTTCAGTATTTCATTCAATAGACTCAAGTCATCCGTTTTGCCATCACTTAACGTAAGGATATCTTGGTTTTGTTGCGCTTCAGTAGCATTTGATGTCTGCTTCAGACTCTTATCCTCTTTGGAATCAAAGTTGAGATCAAGTAATGAATTGTTTGCTTTGGAATCAGAAGAAGCCCTCTTTGGGTTCGCAGACTTGGCTTTGTTTGCACCCAAAGTCGACGGCTTTTTGCCAAACAGTTTACTCTTTTTATTCTCTTTATTCCCGGCTTTACTCGAGTCGTCATCTCTATAGTCGGCCTCAAAGAAAATGAGTCGATCCTTGTCTTCGTCTTCGTCGTTGTCATCAAAGATCTTCCGAATATCATCACAGCTGGACGTGTCTTCGGCCAACTTTTTGCTCGTTTCGGTCAACTCCTTAAGAGTCGTGAACTCATAGTATTGGTATCCCTTGAAAGAGTCGGCGACAGCACTCATCGTCTTCGATGACTTCTCCCAGAACTGGAGCGAAGAGTTCTGATAACCAACCAAAGCGTGTGAATACATATTACAACGCG